AATGAAAATATTTTTGTAATTGCTAAAAAACTCACATATGTAAATAATGTATATAAAATACCTTGTGAATCAAGTGAGCTTGGTATAAAAGTGATGATGCTCAATAGCGATGAAATATTCTCTTATCCAATTACAGATGTGCTCTGTAAAGTATGGAAAATTCCTCTTGCAAATAAACCTAATACATTCGCAGTATTTCCCTTAAACCATACGATGTAAAATGATTTTAAATCACACATAATAAAAATGCGATTATTTTTGTATCAATCTCTCTCTCTCTCTCTCTCTCTCTCTTTTATATATATATATATATATATATATATATACATATATTTTGTTGTATACATATGAACATACATTTATGTTTTATATGCTTCAGTACATATACATATTTTGCATTGTAAAGAAAAATGAATACCGATTATGTCATTGCGGAATTTAACGATGGACTTCAGCTAATACCTGCATTGTGGTACAATGCAGATAAACGTTCAAGTATTTGGCCTACTCATTTTAAAAGTAAATTTAGAATAAATAAAGCAATAATAACAAGAGAAATGCCACAAAATGTTGAATGGGAAGTATTACCAGTGAAAAGGATTTTTGGCAGAGCAGGTAAAAGTTAATTATTATATTTATAATTGTTATATTAAGAACTTATATAGTAAAAAAAGTTTTGAACACTTTTTCCTATTTATAGTACATTTTACAAGTTATTATTAGTAAATTAAAATTTATTATATAACATATTATTGTTTTAAATTTTACAGATAATTATGAAGAAGGTATGGAAAAATTAATCATAGCTGAAGACACATCTAATATAGAGGCATCATCTGATGAATTAAACATACAAAAGAAAAAAAGAAGACGTGAGAAAGCCAAGAAAATTATGTCATCTTCTTCAGACGAAGATCTATGTTTTAATGGAGATAATTTAAATGAAAACAATTATGCAAGACAAAGTTGTAGTAACCTCCTACCTGCATGTCCAGAAATTCGAAATTTTGTACCTCAAAAAAAGCATATGCAGACATTCACAGAAAACAATCCTACAAATGTTTTATATCAAAATTCTTACAGTAAGTAAAAGTGTTAAGCAGTAATAATTTGTTATAAATATTATATTAAAAATAATTTTTTGTGTGTATAATAATATTTTTGCTTTTTAGATAAAACTGTTAACATTGAAAATATTTCAAAGAACACAAAAGATTTTACAGAAAAATCTATTGATAGCGATATAGAAAATTTTGGTGGTATGTTTCTATATATATATATTATATTTATATAAATGTAATATCTATAAGATTTAAATGTTTTATATCAAAACAATATATATAAATACATGTACACAGATATATTTTCACACAATTATTAATAATAAATATTGTTAACTGCAATACTTAATAATTTAATAAATATATTTTTTCAGAATGCAAAAAACTAGTTTTTGTAAAACTAAATAAAGTTTTATATAAACTTAATAGTATTGAAAATAAAATCGACATGCTAGATGAGAAAATGCAACGTTCTAATTATTCCAGCCAAGAAGAGATTGTTATACAACTGCCTATAACAACATTTGAAGAATTAACAACTTTTGAAGAAGAATTAAAAGATGTTAATTTCAAAGATAAAGCGGTGAATATTTTAAAAATATATTCTTTATTTTTATCGCATACTGCTAAAATTCCAAATATAAATAATAATATAATACATTTAATATTTATCTAATAATTAATAATGTAATTAATCTAATAATCTATAAGTCTTTGTTTATATTTGAATTTGACATTTAGAAAGCCTATGCTTTATACATAGTTTAATTAATCTAATAATTAATTAATAATTTAGAAAAAAAGGAAAAGGGGGAGAAAGAGAGCGCAATCAATACGAGAGTATAAAACAATATTTTTTAATATTATTAATAATCATGTATATTTTTCAGATTAATACGTTTCAACTTGTGGGTGGAAGTACAGCACACATAATGATACGTAACATTTTAAAAAAAGCTGTGACAAATAATTTGGCACAGCATTTTAGCTGGGCTGGAAAAAAAGCTAAAAAAAGCTTTCAAGATTTAGGACTTGCAAGAATAATTATACGTAAGTTAAATTTTTTATATAATTTTACGTTCCCCACTAGTATCAAATTAAACATTTGTGAAAAGCACACACTATATTGTAATGTTTATAATAACTTTTTGTGTTATAGAAGCTATTCGTACAACACATAAACATATAAGTGACACCGAAATTGGCGCAACTATTGCCAAGTGGCTAGCCCAAGCTGCTGTTCGAATTGAGAGAGCAAAGTATGTACTTAAGGCGTTTATATTTTATATAATTTTATAAATACTTGTATGCAGTATGTATATTTTTATGTAGGTGAGGTTTTATGTAAGTATATGAATTTTAATATTATTTTATTTTTACAGATCCTTAACAGGAAAGGAAAATCAGCCTCGTTAAGTTTATAATATTTATAATGCTCTTTCTAAGTTTTTTTTATGTTCAATGATTTACTTTATTTGTTTTAACATAATTCCTTATCTTTATTTTTAAGTTCTCTTAACTGAAAACAAACTATGTTTTAAGGCTCAAATGTTATGTTTGGAATTATATAGTTTATGGTTCAAACTCTACGTCGTTACTATCTTTAAGTTTCTTTATAGCTAGTGGGCAATTAATGCTAGCCCATACGCCAAATTTAAAATTATCTTTAAGTTTCGATTAATCGATTGTGATTATATTTATGATTATATAATCAACTGTGATTAATATTTATTTGTGATTATATATAATCGACTGTGATTATATTTATTTGTGATTACATTGCAATAAACAAAAATATAGATAACATTTAACTACAACGTATTTTCATTAATGATTTATTTACATTTATATACCTGTATATGCAACATTAGTTTATGGTTGCAATAACAATGCATTATTGCAAACTCATAACATTGCAATATTGTTGTAATATTTTGTTGCAATCTTCCAAAAAGCGGACATTTTAACATTGCTGCAATTCAACAGCAATGATGTAGCAACATTTTGCAGTGAATTTGCAATATTGCAATATTGCGGTGAAAGATTGTTGTAATGTTTTTGCAATCTATCGGTGCTGTATATATTTTCAGTTGTACTTTGAAGTAATTTATTCACAATATTAATATGACTCAAGAGATCATGCCATACCGCAATAGAACACAAAAATTGAAAATCTTTTATTTTTAGACATAAAACGTGAGCTTCGTGTTTTGCCGAACTATCTGTCTTAGAATCTTCAAATATTTCGAATAATGCATCGTAAATCTCTCCAATCTGATATCGTAAAGGTTTTAGAGCATCAATTCGCGATTCCCAGCGAGTGTCGGAAAGAGGCTTTAATGTTAATTTTGAAATGTGGTTATTTAATATACTCCACCTTTTCGTTGAAGCGGAAAAAAAGTTATAAATTGCCTGAACAATCGCAAAGAAATTGATCGTCTCGAAAGTAATTTTAGCTGCATCATTGACGACTAAATTAAGAGTATGAGCTGTACAAGGCACAAAAAAGGCCCTAGGGTTAATATTTAGAATATGTTTCTGTAAACCATTATTTTTCCCCTTTATATTTGCTCCATTATCATAACCTTGTCCGCGTAAATTTTGTATATCAAGATTAAATTCTTTTAACTTGTTAACTATGTATTCGGTCATACCTTTCCCAGTCGAATCATGAATCTCAATAAAGCCTACAAAATGTTCTTCTACCTTAACATTATTATCTTTTATCGATACAAATCGCAAAATAATTGTCATCTGTTCTTTGCGGCTAACATCTGGCGTGCAGTCCAAGATTATAGAATAATATTTAGCTTTTCTAACTAATGACAAAATATGATTGAGTAGATTATTGGAAAGCAAAGAAATGATTTCATTTTGTATTCTCTTACTAGTGTAGTGCACTTTCGTTTCTTTTTTCATAACTCGTCGAAGATGATTAGCAAGCACTGCATCGAATTTAGCAAGTAGTTTCATTAATTTCAAAAATTTCCATTATTTCTTTCGTACAAAACATCCGATGTTCCCCTAAATGCAAGACATTGTTGGCCCAAGAACTTTACGATTTCTATTATTCTTTCAATAACTGCACGCCAGTGTTGTTTTTCCATTTCAAACAATGTTTCCGTTTGACTGTCAATAGTTGTTTTATTTTGCAAGGCCCGTCTTACATCAATCCATTTTTTAAAATTGTTCATATGAGCTGAAGAAGTTTCATGTACATGCAAAGTTTTTGAAAGATTTTGCCAATTTGAATACCCATTTTGAGATGTTAATTTGCTCGCAGCTGTATCCGTTGCGTAAGAAGTAAATATTTTGCAACAGAAGCAATATACACTATTGCATTTTAATGAATATATAAGCCAATCTCTTGAAATAAATTCTGAATTTGCCAGTTTTCTGTTATAGTACGCATTACTAAATTTTCTTCTATTACTATCGACTGGATAATCTATATCGGTATAGTGATATGGACCGTTTTTGATTATGATTTTTCTCGTTTTTTCATTTATATTAGGCCACATAGCAGGATCACGAAGATGTATTAAAAATTCAGATGTATTAGAAATTAGATCAACGTCTTTTTCTTTTTGTATTTTGGGTTCTTTAGTAAAAAGATCTGTTGATGCAATAAAATCCGTTGCTATCGATTCATCTTGTTCATTTTTCTGGTTGGATTCTTCAATGTCTAAACTTTTTTCATCTTTCTTGAAGTATTTATTAATATTTCCTCTTTGCTTTTCGATCTCTAATAATTTAGTTGCCGCACATTTTCTGTTCGCGTAGCCAGATAATTTGTGTCAATTTATTTACTACACAATTATTACTACATTACTATTTGTTAATGCAAGATGCGCTACTGTGGCAACGAGAATTGCAAAGAATTTTTGTTTTAAAACATGCACATCTATATTTAAAGTATGTAAATTTTCAAGTATGTATTCAAGAACACAATATTAATTTAATTATATATGTGAGAGCCATTACTTGTACTTCGTGGCAACCACGACCCCAATTTATCGAATCATTATCGATCATCCAGGCTCTTAACATGTTTTCAACGTCCGCATTTGACCTTTCGACACTACCTTGGCTCTGTGGGTGTCGCGGACGCCCATGAACAATCCTGCAGTGAGGCCAGATGGAAACAAGTTCGTGTATTACTGCAGCCACGAATTCTCGACCATTATCGCTCTGCAAAATAGTCGGGGCTCTCCATGTAAAGAAGATTTTCGACAATTCTTCAGCAACGTTAGCTGCGTGCTTGGATCTCAAGGGTCGAAGGTGCAAAAACTTGGTAGCGTGATCTTGGTAGTTTAGTAGCCAATTGAACTCACCATCGCGACAAGATTGGAAATCAATTAAATTCACCTGTCCGCGAACATTAAATCTATCGCTCAGTATTGGTTTTATCACAACTCCTCGTTTTGGAGCAACCCTCTTTCTGTTACATGTCCCGCAGCAAGACACAAATATTTCACAAGCCACCTTCGTTATCCTGTACTTTTCTTTAATGTAATACTGCATCTTATCCCTTCCGCCATGGCCTGTTTGAATGTGAGCTTCTAACAATTTATCGTAGTAATCCTCCATCGCTATTACGTAAATAACTGGCTCATTCGAAGTTTTCCGTTTTAAAATTACATACGATTCCGTTCCAATTTTTGCTAGCTCATACTTCTTCGCGTAATGATAATGAGATACTGTCTTTTTAGTACTTGGAACCTGAATTTCTTGCAGAACTTTCATAACGTTGATCATCTGATCTCGCCTCCACACTGTTCGATTACTGCCTGGTCGATTTGAATAGAATTTATCTAATTTTTCGTTAAACTCATCGCGGTTTACTGGCATATAACTTGCCATTGCTGTTATTGATTGCCAACTAACGAGAAAAATTGAATATACAACAAGCTCTGTGATGATTTACTTAAGACCCACTGGGATATTTACAAACAATAAATTGACAACATATCGAGCTCCAAAACAAGCATTTCTCTAATCGCCTACAGCGCGCCAGGCCGTTAGGCGAAAAGCCGACTTCTCGTCTAACAGGCTGAATTTTCCAGGCCATTAGACTATATCGTCCTCGATTAGCCTAACAGGCGGCATTTAGTTAAACGCCTAGGTTTTTAGCTAATTGGCTAATTTCGCTATCGGGCTACGACATATATACTGTTGAAATTCATACGAAAAATCAAGAATTAATTTTTTTATACATGTTAATACAATAAATATTTCCAAATTAAATTCAATTTTTTCTCTACCTTTCTCTACTTTTTCAAAAATTACTTAGAAACCTTTTTTTATACATTCTGTAGTAAAAATGTAAAAAGTAATATTTTCATATAAAAATATTACTTTTTACATTTGTAACATTTTGAACTGTAAGAATCACGTTTTCGTAAGAATGATCTATATATATAAATGGCTTTAGAATGTCTTCAGTAAAACAGCAATTTTAAATATTAATAAACGATACATTGTATCTTATACATCGTTATACAAATAACGTTAAAAATATACTATATAAATATTATTTAAACATTTAATTTACCTTTTCGAGAGAAACTAATGTAACGTGTAGATTCAGCTTGTCTGAATGTCGTACTCACAACAGAGCACAGAGCACTTTCTTAGTCCACGGCTTCTTGCGCTTTCAATTGTTTTTGACCGAAAACAATCGACAGCTTGCCGAGACGCCGAACCACGAGCAATATGGGAAGAGAAGTCGCTTTCGCATCCCCCCCCCCGCCGCTCACGCTCTCGCGACTTCGCTGCTTTTTATTTACTTACAAGGGAAGTGACACAACTGTCCCTCTCCGATTTTGATGCGCTTTAAATATGTTGTAAAGTAGCTCAAAATAAGAGACACGTATTTTTTATACGTGCCCAATCGCACGTTTAGGGGTTGAACAACCCTTACAAGCTGAAGCGGTCTATTTGGTTTTGATTGAATATTGTCAAAACTATAACAGATATCAAAAATGTTTCGAATAAAAGTTGCATCATTTTTATGTACTTTATAACCGCATAGTGGAATATTTTTAATAAACTAATTTTTTAAAAATTTACAAAAAATGTAATTTTTGAAAAATTCAACTATGCGATTATAAAGTACATAAAAACAATGCAACTTTTATTTAAAACATTTTTTGATATCTGTTATAGTTTTGACAATATTTATTTAAAATTAAATAGACTGCTTCAGCTTGTAGGGGTTTTTCAACCCTTCAACGTGCGACTCCGCAGAAATAAAAAAATACGCGTCTCTTATTTCGAGCTACTTTATAACATATTTGAAGCTCATCAAAATCGAAGGGGGATAGTTGTGTCACGTCACTTGTAAGTAGGATCTGACACAAAAATTTCAAAGTTCCAAAAATTAAAAAATTTAGAGTTCCGGTTTTTTTCTTGAGTGTACGGAATAGTACTCCCTGAGTACTCTTAAAAAGTTAAATAACTTTTTTCTGTCAAGTTAAAATAACAAAAGTTTTACGCCATTTTGTTACAAAATCCTTTACATTTCCCAACCTTTTAGAGGGTGTTTCAACCCCTAAACGTGCGATTGGGCACGTATAAAAAAATACGTGTCTCTTATTTTGAGCTACTTTACAATATATTTAAAGCGCATCAAAATCGGAGGGGGACAGTTGCGTCTGCGTCACTTCCCTTGTTAGCTATAAGTGGCTGGCCGGTATACACTATAGATTTATCTATAACATATACCAGCTTCGCTTACACACACAAATTTTCCTAAACAAATTTTTAATGAAATAAAAATTTTAATTTCTTAATCATTTTTTTTGCATTGGATTCCAAGCCGCCCCCTGCTTCATGGCGCCCCGATGCGCCGCTTACCGTGCTTACCGCTTAAGACCGGCCCTGAAGAACACACACCAAGTTTCAGCCAGATCGGTCTATTTCTTTGTGTTTGGCATTCGTTTGAATCGAGGAAGTCGAGTGATTTTCAAAAAATGGATGACAAAGAATTTTGTGTCGATTAAACATTACTTTATGAAAGGCAAAACGTCTCAGGAGACTAAAGAGAAGCTTGATAAACATTATGGTGACTCTGCACCTTCGATTAGAACAGTTTATAAATGGTTTCAAAATTTTCGAAGTGGCCATATGGGCACAAGTAACGCTGAACGTTCTGGACGCCTTGTTGAAGTTACTACTCCAGAAATCATTGATAAAATCTATGATATGGTGATGGATGACAGAAGAGTGAAGGTGCGTGAGATTGCTAGTGCTGTGGGCATCTCGAATGAACGGGTACATAATATTTTGCATCAACGTTTGGACATGACAAAGCTATCCGCAAGATGGGTGCCGCGATTGCTCACGCTTGACCAAAAACGCAATCGTGTGAAGTGTTGCAAGGACGGTTTGCAGCTGTTCCAGAAGAATCCGCAGGACTTTAAGCGTCATTTCGTCACTGTGGATGAAACATGGATACATAACTACACTCCTGAAACCAAAGAACAATCTAAACAATGGGTTACCAAGGGGGAATCTGCGCCAAAAAAGGCGAAGACCGTTCCTTCGGCCGAAAAGATTATGGCGACTGTCTTTTGGGATTCGCAAGGAATAATCCTCATCGACTATCTGGAAAAAGCTAAAACTATTACAGATGCATATTATTCATCGTTATTGGACCGTTTGAAACCCGAGCTGCAAGAAAACGCCTACGATTAGCCCACAAAAAAGTCCTTTTCCATCACGACAACGCACCAGCTCACGCCTCAGCAGTTGTGGTCGCAAAATTAATGGAAATAGGGTTCCAACTCGTTGCACATCCCCCCTATTCTTCAGATTTGGCTCCCTCGGACTATTATTTGTTCCCTAATTTGAAGAAATGGCTGGCGGGAAAAAGATTTTGGCTGGAGGGAAACAATTTTAAATTAAAGATTTTATTCAAACGAGGAGGTGATTGCAGAAACGAATGGCTATTTTTTTTCCTCGATTAAAACAAATGCCAAACACAAAAAAATAGACCGATCTGGCTGAAACTTGGTGTGTGTTCTTCCAAGAGATGCTACTAACTAAACATAACCTCGATACGCGCCAGTAGTGCTATCTCTCTGACTTTGCACGGACTTTTCAAACGACCCTCGTATTGTATTGTATCATTTAATCGAAATAAATAAACCGAACTCTCGCCACTACATCGTGGAATTGTAATCGTATAATTTAGAAATTCTCAGCGCTCTCGCTCATATATTAGCGACAATTTTCTACCTTATAATTTTATTCCTCAATTTAAGTAGTATAAAATAAATTATATGAATTGTACGATTCCACGTTTGTAAGAAATAAGCACATCTATGCGCGAACTCTCTAAAATACGCTTGTTAAAATAATCATGTTGATTGAATTTATATCCGTTAGTTTTAAGGCGACATAATTCTCAGCTTTTTATCGACCGAAAACCCTCGCTACTGTTCGACGCTTCTTGGAATTTGTATCGTGGCCGAATCGTTATGCACCATCCCTCCATACCGCATCGTCTCGATACGCGCCGAAGCTCATATTGAGACGGGCCTTTTTGACTTAATAATAATAGTAATTTGATATATAATAAATTTAAGTAATAGCCTTCACCTGACGCGACCGGGTCCGTGGCCGTCAGGGCTCTTTATTAATATTTAAATATATAGCAATAGACGCCAACTAATTTTTATAAAATTAGTAAATTACTTTTAAATTTAGATTAATAAAACAAAAGTATTTTCGTGGAAAATTTAGTAGGTTCTCAGGGATGGGACTTGGGAGGACCCAATATTGTAAATTAAGGAAAATAAGGTCGAGAATTATATTGCTCCGGGCAGAGCCGTATAAATAATTGCTACTCACACGTATAACCGTAAGCCAGATTTATAGAATAGACTCTCTCTCTTTGTGTATACATTTGTCTTCTACAATTTAAGACAATAATCCTCAGTTTAACGCTTAATAACCAACGGTGGTCCGACGACTCGTGCAGCCTTTTACAATGTGTATTCCGACGGAAGGCCTATCGCAGAGTGCCCGCTCCGATCTTGGCAGTAGATTGTCCCACCTGGCCTGGCTGTTGTCGGCTTGAATCGGTTCGGAAAGTGGGGCCTTCGTTCCTTTTCGTCAAGTATTCTTGAGTAATATGATGGATAGTTCGAACGTAACATGGATGTGACAAAATTAATAAGAATAAGATTTTTACAATAATATTTAAGTGTGGGAACTCCCGACGAGTCGGATCGCATTGACGTTGAGGGAGATTTTACTGTTACAATCTGTATGTCATAAATTCTGCCTCTATTTGAAACTTTTGCCCTCCTAGATATTCCATTGGCTCTTCTCCTTTTTTTTCCACACATATCACTTGCACCGATGATCTCGAGATACAGTTTATGAAGGAACCTTCACCAAAGGGCGCAAAGCACAAAGACTTTTTCCGATTTCGGTGGGTATATAAGCTCTGCGGTCCTAGCATCTGCGCGGCATAATTATACACGGCATATTACGACACACTAGATACTGTATCTCATTGTGTCACTCTAAATTTCTGTACGAAACCTTGTCACGCGTTCGCCGTCAACGACGTTGACTTTTTCATTAATTCTTGATCGCGCATAGTTTGTAAAGTAAAGAGAGTTACAATAAAGAACTTTAAAGCATCAGAATCTGTGTACTTTTGATTTCGCTACGCGCATCCCGACCGAGGTCTTCTAAGAGGGTGACGGCAAGTGAACGTGCTGCAGAGTGACGCTATATAAAAGTTTATCCAACGTAAAGTAAGTACCTTTCACACTAACAAAGACTTCTCTAATATATTACTTGCATGAGAATCTAAATTCTGTTCAGAAGTCGCGCTAGATCAATAATTATCATCATCCTACTATTATTCTCTTGTGCTCTTCTTCTTTATTCTTTTATAATCATTGAGCAGTGCAAAAATTTGTCTTCTGCCTTTGATGATTTTGCGCCTTCTTTCTCTATTCTTTCATAATCGTCGGGCACTGCGTTCTGCTCTTGACGATTTTGCGCCTTCTTTCTCTATTGTCGAGCACCTTTTTTTTTGTCTTGTCAATGCTTTAATAATCATTGAGCACTGCGTTCTGCTCTTGATTATTTCGCGCCTGCTCTATTTATTCTTTTATAATTATCGAACAGTATAGTTCTGCTCTTGATAATTTTGCGCCTTCTTCCTCTATTCTTTCATAATCGTCGGGCACTGCGTTCTGCTCTTGACGATTTAGCGCCTTTTTTCTCTATTGACGAACACCCCTTTTCGTCTCGTCAATGCTTTAATAATCATTGAGCACTGCGTTTTGCTCTTGATTATTTCGCGCCTGCTCTATCTATTCTTTTATAATCATCGAGCAGTACATTTCTGCCCTTGATGATTTACCTCATTTCCTACCACCGAACTTTCTTCACCTCCCGAGAATTACCTATTTACCTCTCTTTATTACATAAAATCAAATAAATACTTTGATCTAGACGCATTCTAATTAATTTAGATAACATATCTCTACTTGGTAACTCCATTGTAGATGAGCAACCGGAAAGCTAAAACGAACGGCGAAGTAAACGAAATCATCGAGCCGGCGTAAAAACCCGCGCAAAGCACGTAGCCTCATGCCTGCGTTGGTTAAGGAGATGCCGGAGGTCTACTTTTACCGGCCAAACCGATTATATTTTGCCACCCACAAGAAGTTTTTTATTGCGTTAATAGAATAACAAATGCTTTTCCACGATTAAAGTTAATACAATAATAAAATAGGAAGCTGT